TGTATATATTTTTTTTTAAAATTATGTGTGCAAGTTCATGTTTCTGATTTGTGTCTGATGGTTGGAAATCTGACTCATCGTTGCCTTTGAGCTATTGCTGATCAGAAACAATACGTGTTCCCTTCGTCCTTAAATACATGTGTATTTATAAAAGGAAAGGTCTAGTGGACAGACTTCTAAGCCGCATACGGGTTATGTTTGTTGTACGATAAAAAGACAAGATTAAGTGATTTTTTTAAAAACCGCCAGCATTTTGTTGGTACAAATAATGATAGGTACTTAATCACACATCCATTAAATAACGTCAGTTGACAATTTAGTGTATACGGTTTAAGTTATACGATTGGTACATGCAATACTTACTACATTATGCATTTATAAATTTATGTCAGTAATAATTTAGTCACATACGGTTTAGTTATAAGATAAACAGACAAGACTAACCGCCCCCCCCCCCTAAAAAAAAAGAAAAGAAACAAAAATTAAAAATCTGCCAGCACTTTGTTGGTACAATCAGTACGTACTAGATCTACATTATGCATTCATAAATTTATGTCAGTAATAGTTATATTTATTCACATACGGGTTAAGTTATACGATAAACAGACAAGATTAACACAACCTCCCCCTCCCTTGCCCCTTCGCCAAAAATACAATAAAAGAAAGAAAGAAAGAAAGAAAGAAAGAAAGAAAGAAAGAAAGAAAGAAAGAAAAAATGAAAGAAAGAAAGAAAGAAAGAAAGAAAGAAAGAAAGAAAGAAAGAAAGAAAAAATGAAAGAAAGAAAGAAAGAAAGAATGAAAAAAAAGAAAAAATGCAAGAAAGAAAGAAAGAAAGAAAGAAAGAAAGAAAAAGTAAATCTGCTGTCAGCACTTTGTTGGTACAAACAATACTACCTACATTGTGTATTCATACATTTATGTGAGGCACAGGTGTCCTGTTGCCACCTCGCGCGGTGATTATAATTATAATATCTGGAGTAGTCTATATCTATGGGAGTAGTGCACCTCTGTTGTGGTGTCACGGCGCGGTGGAATCAGCCGCTCGTCAAATTTGTTTTTTTAGTTTTAGTAAGAGTTTTACGACACTTGCAACACAATAAGGTCATATAGGCGCCCGAAGATTAGAGGTGTTACAGCACTTGCAACACAATAAAGTCATATAGGCGCCCGAAGGCTAGAGGTGTTACAAGGGAGTAACAAACACAAAAAAGAAGGAGGGGAGATAGAGACGATATATTTTTTTAATAGGAAAGAAGAAGCTAACCACACCCGAGCACCCACCTACCACCCACTTGTCAATGATTGGCGTGGTGTGTCGAGGTATTAGTTTCATCTGAAAGCTTGTTCATTTGTCTTGCTTTCCATGAAAAAAATATTCAATTATCTTGACGAGAAGTCGAGATATTTGTGAAGGAAGTAGGTGGGATCGCCTGGCTTCAGAGGTAACATTAGCGAGAAAATGGCAGCCAAAGTGTTGTGACTTTCATAACTTGAGAGTCCTTGGAAACTGAAAGTTTACTTTTTGTGTGTAATAAACGCTTTTCAGTAAAATCCACACAAAAAATGTGTTTTTAAATGGATACAAAAGGTGTTGAACCCC